GAAGGCAGAGACGAATTCTTGTCCGCGGATACCATCGGGCGCGTCGGCAAAGCAAAGGGCTGGGATACCTAGTCGAGTCACTTCACCAGAGTTACCAACACAGGTTCCGTTCCATCCCCGAGTAATGTTGGCATTCTCTTCGACAGTCATCTGAGACACTAGTGCTCTCGCATGGCGATATGCGGCGGCCCATCCCGCATCGCTGGAGCCATTGCCAATTGCTGCTTGGAAATCAGTCCCCGAGGTTCATGTCTGATATCATGGAACAAGAAGCATACGAGATGGGTAAACTGGTGGACTACGCCCGTAATAGGGTACCTCGGATGGAGCGGAGCCATTTGTTTTCGCCGACACCACAACGCTAGCAAGCGCGATATTGAGGATTGATTTCGTCTTCATTGTGGTACAGGCCTTGTGCCGCAGAGATGTCCGTAAATTGTGTCAAGGCCCACTGAAGCGGCCTTGTGAACTTCCTGACGAATAACGGCCAATATGAGGGACGAGCAGGTACCGCTTCTTATGAGATCATCGGACAACACAATTCAGTGGGATTTCACATTGCCAGCAAAGCAGAGTCCGAGATAGGCCCCGATTAATCGGCCATGTCATGTGTCCAGCACGCAGCAGGGATAAAGCAGGCAAGTTATTGGGTTCATTGACTCAACACCGGCCCGGGAATAAGAGTTATTAGCAACATCGCGGAAGGCCCTTTATCAGGCAATCACGACATTAGTAGTTAAGATTGCTTTGCAATTGACCACAAGCCAATTGTCATTGTGGAAGAAGACCTCCTGTGGGGTCAATGGCGTAATGCAAGGATGATAATGCCCCGCACTCTCCGCACCGGATACTTCCCGTTGCTATGTAAAACAAGGTTGGGTGTGTGGGCTTTGGGGTTTGTTTCTCCGGGGAATTCTCGTCTCCATTGAATTTGCTCTATTGAATTTGCTTACCGAATTCGCTCTATGAAGTGGGTGAATCTACCGAAATGGCGCGATGCCTAGTTACACCTCATTGTTCGGGGCTGTTCCGTCGGGAACGAATTGAGAACCCTACCAAGATGGTGCCCAGGGTTCAACGGATACGATATCGGAACCATACTTATTACCAGGTTGTCACCATGGCCCTCAATACTACGTCAGGGCTTGGCTTACGTATTACTTTACAATCGATATTCCTTTTCTCCCTCTCCTGTGTGCATGTGTGTGTGTGATACTGGCTTATCCAGATCCATACATAAGCACCATATGTCTGCGCATGCAATTTCATCTTACTAGGTAAATGAGCATGTCTTTATAAATTGGCTTCTTACCTCGGGATGAACTTATTGTCAATTCTTATCTTGCTATTTTCTTTTCAGAGTTTCATTTCAATCTTCCAAGGTTCATCCTAACTCCTGCTAGCTTATTGCTGAGGCCATTATCAGTTGAAAATTCACAGCGTGTGTCTAACGGTAATTAAACTGCTTTCATGATTATGAGATGATGTTGCAGCCAAACGCTTCTTGTGAGAGCAAAACGGCACGTATGAAGCCGGAACGGATGCACATAAGTACAGCACTACAAACCTCGGTCACAAAACCTGATGTGGCCTTGTCAGCAAAGCCCGTGAAACATCAGAGGAAGGCATTGACTTCATTTGAAGGAAGATTCATTTTGGGCCGAGTGAACATCCTGCATATTTAAAATACCATCCGGCAAAACTGGAAAACCAATCTTAGCCCCAGCACCTAATCTTGTACAAGGTGCATGAAAACAAGGCTTCTTGTGCCAAGTCGCGTGCCACTCACCTCGATGTGCCACCATTCGTCTGTGTAATATTATGGTGTTAGGAGACAGCAGCTTTTTAAGTTAATTTGTTCCCTCGATTATACATGCAAATTTCCAACGGTGAATAGCCGCTCGCAAGTTGATGTAACTAAACCCCTTATGTCCTCCTAGGCGCGGAGCACATGCTTAGATGCAAAGGGAAAAAATGCACACTAGGAGGGGAATGAAGTCCCTCCGATATTCTGATTGATGATTTCGCTTAATCTCACATATAACAAAATGAGTTTTGGGCAGCTTTTCAGACTCCCAGAGCGTCATCAAGGGCTTCTTCCATGCATACCTAGAAGAAATGCTACTTTACGTGAAGACATATTATGCCGACATGACTACCCGGGGGTGTTATTCGCTGTCGAGCGGAACTGTGCAGAAGAGGCTAGGCATCAATTCCAGACTGTCAATAGCCACTGTTCATTGCAAAATTAGCATGCACGAATGTCCAGTTGTTAAGGAGTTTTGTGTAGTGTATTGTATCTCTTCCGCGATGCTCTGAATTCATGAATCTAACTTAATCGACGATTTTCAGCCAGCATCTTTAATTAGGTGCTGTGATGAAACCCTTGGAAACCACTTCCTGAATCCCGGTGGCCCACACATTTGCCATCTTAACATAGCCGCCGTCATTCGGGTGTCGTGTATCATTAAGATCGTTTAGACCCGGAGCAGCGGGGCTTCGCATGTCTACAAGCGCGAACTTGGCGCCAGACTGTTGGAATTGTGTCGCTACGGCGGCGTATTGCGCGTTAATGTCGACCCGGCAAGCGTCTTGCGCAGCAATCTTGTTGGCAAGTATCGATGTGAGTATCACAGTCGATCCTGGACTTTGCGCATAGATATTGTTTATCATGGCGGTGACATTCGCGCCTGCGTCGGGTACTGTGCCGCCTTTGTTGCAATTATTGGTGCCAGCATCGACGAGTACGAGGTTCGGTTGGAGCAGAGGCACAGCTTTTTCTGCCGCAGCAGCGATTTGGTTGATCTTGAATCCTGGAGTCGCCTCGACTGCGTTGTCGGTGAAGTCTCCGTTTGCTTTTGTCCCGACATATGTGACATTCATGCCTTGGGAGACGAGCAGGTCTTGGAGATCTTTGCGGTAGCTGTCGCCGGTTGTTGAACCTACCCCAAACGTCACTGAGGCGCCCAGGGACATAATGCGCAATGGTACTGCTGATGCTGGCGCCTGCGCCTGCCTAGGTGCAATCGACAATGCTAGCACGCTAGCTGAGCCCATGCTGATGACTAGTGGAAGCCGCATAATGGATAGAGTCGCGCGGGCCGATACGGATCGATGATTGAAGTGCAAATGAGACGGACGGATTTGAAGAAAGATGAGTAATCTTGTCGTCAGCCAAGGTCTTCGTAACGAGCGCCGAGTTTAGCAGTTTATAAAGGGTGTAAAGTCGAGGTTCGGGTAATGATGCCGGCTGAGCTAACTTCTGATACTGGCTCGGAACCTAAACCAGTTTCATTTCCATGCTGACTTGTAACAAGACAGCGGTCTGCTTGCGGTGTGCCCGCGATCCCTTGAACATAGGTATACGACGGCCTCAAACAGAAGCCTGCTATATATGACCATCAGATATTGATGATCGGCCCAGGGTTACCGACTCCTTGGGTAGTGCAGATGACACTGAAAACTCGGCGTCGACGTCGTTATTGCTCATTCGCCGTAACATTCCAGTGAGTATACAGCGGCACCTGGCGTATTTCTTAGCACACTTAAAACGGCATTTGAACAACACAGCTATTGTTTTGTGTAAAATACGGGGTTTGTGCCTGGATTTCTGCAAAGACCAAGCTCGCTATGGATGATCGAGACTTCAGGGGAAACCTCGCCTCCTGTAACGACGACTGTCAGTCAGGAGACGGTGGGTCTACACCCTCATCCAGGGGTAGGCTTGCTCCGCACGAGTAAACCAATCATTGACACTGCTTTGCGCTAACAGTAATAGGCAAGGCTGATGCCAGAAAGAGCTAGCGTACGGCATAAAGTCAGGCTTAGATTTCAATAGATCCACTTCATAAGTCAACTTACACATAAATCAAAGCGGATAATGGATTTGCTTAGTGTATACAGTATTGTTAATCGTCCCTGGTCTAGTAATTGTTGAAGTACGCATATACGGCGATAATCCTTAATCAATTGAGTGCATGGGTTGTGTGTATCTCTATGGCTGGCTTGCCCCTGTGATATCTGTCGCCTTAGGCAAAATGCACGAGCCATTGGATTTCCCTCATTTGGGTGGGGAAATCGATCCCAGAAATGTTGCCGACATTTGCCCAGCGGTATGTATTGCCTAACCTATACGCGTAGATGCGCTTGTAAGGCACCTAACCTAAACCCAAGTGTACTGTTCTCTTGCCTTTAGGGGAAAGCAAGCGTGTTGTACCCTTGAGTGTCTGTTTTCCTTATATTTTTATGAATGAAGCAAACAGGACATGTAGAAGCTTCTCCTATGTGGCGTTATGTCTCCAGAAGTTATAGTATATCTCGCCTGTACATCCTTCTAGCACGTACATGAGCGACCCTACGAGCGAAACACCTGAAATTAGTACCTTTTTACTGAATCCTGTCAACCCTGCAGAGGGTGCTTGCTTGCGGAGGTGGGAATCTACCCAGGGCGATTCCTCTCAAGGTCGCACAGGTATAGAACATACTCAAACACAGCTGGGGAAGACTGTTTGCTTCGTCGCCGCGCGAATGAAGAGATCGATCAGTGGCCGTTACGCAGTTGATGTTGGACACATCTTGCCCGCTAGCGCATGGGTCCCAACACCGGGCCAAGCCACAGTTTTGCAGCTCTGGACTAAAATGACAGGGTCAATGTCTTGGTAGACTTCAGTGATTGGATAGACCTGAGTAGTGCCTCCACAATTGTATCTCGCGGTCTACCATCCAAGACCCTTTTAGGCACTGGCGGCTGGTAGGCATTCGACCAGTACACGCTCGCCGTCTCGGTTGTCATGTCTGAAAAGGAAGGTGGGCGGAGATTCGACATGATCTGTTGCGCTGTGCCGCAGCGAAACACAGGTGAGTGTTGCAATAGTCAACCAGCCCCCGGCCCAGGTATGAGGCGCTCCCCTGTCTTACACCGTAAAACCTCGTATTGAAGGTTACAGTATATCATAGCCCCTGTAGCACTTGGTTGGTCCCCAAGATTTCTCAACCAACATCAAAGATGATAAATGGAATATTGGTCCCACGGAGTTTAAGTTGAATGTTCTAACAACGAGTTCAGAATTCGCCACAATGTGGAGTCCCTTCCAAATTGCTTTTTATTTTGAACTGATAGCCAACAAAACTACTCGCCTGTATCACCATGAGTGTCCAGCTTCACACTCTCTCCACTATCCCTTCGGCTCTCTTTTTGCTGTTGCTTCCGTTTCGCCTATCAAAGCTTCGCACAGAGAAGATCAAGGTGATCCCGGGGCACCGTGGTCTCGTCAAGTTGGTATGTTTGGCACATGAAATATTGTTCAATGTTCTCAATTACTGACTGATGAGGTAGGTGATTGCAATCCTACTTGCGGTGGCACAAGCAATATTCTTAACTTTTACGTCACCTGCGGCTAACCGCTTTGACGGCGCCCTTCTGCCTGCTATCCTTTCCTTCGTGGCGTCCATCGGTCTTTGCCTGTTGGTGTGTCTGGAGCATGGTCGATCTATTAAACCCTCAGATCTTGCAACCCTATATCTACTGTTTTCTTCATCTTGCGATGCTGCTAGACTCGGGGCGATTATCCAGCACAACGGTGATTCTTTTCATTTCTGGCTGTCCGTGGTAAATGTATGCCTCGAGCTTTTGCTCCTCGTCATCGAATGTCAGGGCAAGCAAGATATCCTACGGACTCCGCGAGAACAACATTCACCTGAAGAACTAGCTGGCATACTGAACAGGATATTCTTTTGGTGGATTAACTCGATTCTATGGAAGGGGTATCGCAATGTCCTCATTGGTGACAATCTTCCACCAATTGATAGTAAACTCTCATCGCGAGCACTGCGCCAGCAAGCCCAACAAGCTTGGGATCTAAGAGGTATCGTCCCCAAACCAATGTCGTAAATGTAGAAGTGCCAAAAAAACTCTAACAGGACACAGACAAGCCGGAACAGAAGATGACTTTGCCCAAAGTCTTGGTCCAAAGCATGTTGCTTCAATTCCTTGCGCCAATCATCCCTCGTCTTGTCCTCATCGCGTTCCGTTATGCTCAACCAGTCCTCATCAGCATTGCAATCCGTTTTATGAATAACGTGCCAGATGCGATCTTTGGCTCAGCACGCTCTGTGGTCTTCTTGTCAATTGTTGTCTATGCTGGCCTAGCAGTAAGATATGACGAGACTAGGTACGTCCTATGCTAATTTGCCTGCCTAGATATCTAGGACTGTTTATGCACACAGTCTCAATCGACTGAAGACCATGATAAGAGGCGCTGTTGTTGGCTTGATTTATACAAAGGCTCTTTCTCAACGAGGCACTGGCTATGATGATGGAATAGCTGTGGCCCTGATGAGCACAGATGCGGTCAATGTTGGACAGAGCGCGGAAATGTTCCATGAAACATGGGCACACATCATCGAGGTTATTCTAGGCACAGTAATGTTGGCTAGACAAGTTGGATGGGTTTGTCTAATTCCCATAACCCTTATTTTTTGTGAGTCTTCATCCTTCGACCTGGGAGAAAAACACTCATCAGATCGGTAGTCTGCACTCGAATGACCAGATACCTGGCAAAGAACCTCCAGAGCATGCAGAAAAACTGGAATGTGGCCACCCAGGCACGCCTTTCAACAATAACGTCACTCATAACGTCGATGAAAGGTTTGAAAATGTTGGGTTTCACGCCCTACGCTGAGACTCTGGTAAACAATCTGCGACGTGAGGAGCTAGATATGGCCAAGAAAGTGCGGTGGATGATGGTTGCCCATAATGCAAGCGGTACGTGATTTGAATCCACGTTAGATCTGTGTTTAATTTGTTTCTTAGCCAACGCCCTCGGGATATTTTCACCCGCCATTACCTTGGTTCTTTTTGTTCTTCTAGCCAAGTGGAACGGCTTGACACTCGACACAGAGACCGCATTTACAACAACTGCCCTTCTAGGCTTAGTAACTCACCCCGCCAACATGATCATGTCAATTGTTCCACAAGCAATGGGCTCTCTGGCTGCTTTCGAACGAATCAAACACTACCTAGCACAGCCTTCTCTAGATGACGAGAGAGGGCTGTTAAGAAGAAGTTCTGAGGTTCAGAGCATGGACACACCATCGATCTGCGTCAGGGATGTCACTATACAAGCTGAATCATCGGTGGATCCGATCATCAGAAATGCCAATGTTCTGATCCAAAGCGGGTCCATAGTTATGTGTTCTGGGCCAGTTGCGAGCGGCAAAACGGCCTTCATCAAAGCCCTTCTAAGCGAACTTCCCGTTGTGAGTGGTACCATCTCAGTGTCCTCAAAGCGTATAGGTTACTGTGAACAATCGCCATGGTTACGGAACGGCACTCTTCGAGAAGCTATATGCGGCTTCATGCCATTCGAACGAAATTGGTACGAGGAGGTGGTTCGTCTCTGTTGTTTGAACGACGACATATCAGCGCTTCCCAACGGTGACAACACACTCATAGGAAGCCGAGGACTAAATCTCTCTGGAGGACAACGACAACGTGTTGTAAGTTTACTACAGTTCTTTGTATCACAGTCTTTGCTTCAATATGGTCTCGTAATTCCGTTTTCATTTCCACAAAACTCTCATGTATTTCCAAAATCGCTGCTCGTGGACCTTTAGTGCCTGGTCCTGCATTTCTGCCTGATATTCTCCGTTACAGAGAGAGTCGCTTTATGTCGTTTAACTCACGCTAGTTTAGGCCCTCGCCCGTGCTGTATACACGCGGTATGATATTATGCTCCTGGACAATCCATTTAGTGCACTCGACAAGAAGACAGGAAGCCACGTCATTGAAAATCTCCTTGGACCTAAGGGTCATTTTAAGAAAGCGGGTACAACTGTATTTCTCACAGCCCACTCTGGTGAGCTTAGAGTACTTTTATTCAAAGCGGCATAGATACTAAGTGTGGGAAGCCACGTACTTTCACTTAGCAGATTGGCTGGTTCTTCTTCGAGATGCGACAATCACCTATCAGGGCACATGGGAGGCTTTGAAGAGAACCCAAGAAGACATTTCTATGTTCTATGTCGATAACAAGTTGTGTCAAAACTACGAAGAAGAACCTGACAGAGAAAGCAAGGTCCAAAGCCAGGCCCTAAAAGTATCAGAAAATATTTCTGATCTCAGCAGAGCGACGGGTGACATATCGCTCTATGGTAGGGTATCAAGTTCATACTAGAATTGCTAGACACTGACTGACCTTAGTCTGTTAGGTTATTATCTCCATGCCGCTGGTCTACGGAACTTCTCTATTTTGCTAACCTGTACATCTCTGTATTCGCTCTTTATCACGCTCCCTCAGTACTGGTTGCAAAAGTGGACTGCAGCGCCCCCTACACAGACTATGTTTTATATTGGAGGTTATCTCATTCTCTCACTATTAGCATGGGTATTCACCAATGGGTCCATGTGGTAAGTAATTCAATTGCATGAAGACTGCGTTTACTAAATCTGATCAAGGTCAACCCACATTCTCCTTGCACCAACCTCAGGGGACACACTGCACCGCCGCCTCCTCTCCACAATCATTCAGTGCGTATATACTAAAAGCTCTGTATATGTTCTTATACTTACAAATATGAGGGCTCCGCTATCTTATTTCTTTGTCACCGACACTGGTGCGATTTTGAACCGGTTAGTATTCGCACGAAACAAGACTTCCGGGCTAAGTTTCAATAGGTTCAGTCAAGACATACAGCTAGTTGATAGGCAATTGGCGCCGGCCATCTTGTCGATGGCAAATCGTAAGACTGACTGAACATCATATGATCCCGTCACTAACACAACCAGAGGTTTTCAAACTCTCAGTGCAGATAGGGCTACTTTACAGTACTCAGAAGTTCATGACTCTAACTTTACCTTTATGCACGGTGGCTGTATATCTTGTGCAAAAGGCATATCTCCGTACCTCCCGCCAATTACGATTACTTGACCTTGAGTCACAGTCGGCCGTATACTCTAGTTTTCTTGAAGCGGTTTGTCACGTTACACAGCATTCTCTGTTCCGGTCTGACGATAAACAGGTTGAGGGTGTCGTCACTATTCGGGCGTTTGGCTGGCAAAAAGAAGTCCAGCAAGCTAACATTGAAAGCCTCGATGTGTCTCAACAACCATCCTACATTCTGTTTTGCCTTCAGCAATGGCTTAGTATTGTTCTTGATTTGATTGTTGGAGCAGTTGCAACTGGTATTATTGTCCTTGCTGTCACGCTTAAGGGGACAACAACTGCAGGACAGATCGGTATGGCCTTGAATATTGTACTAGTTGCAAACAACACTCTTTTTAGTCTTGTGACATCATGGACAAACTTGGAGATATCACTGGGTGCTATGTAAGTATGATCCATTTGTCTTCCTTTTTCTGTATAATACTAACCACTTTGCAGATCTCGCATTAGAAAACTGGAAACTGAGACGCCAAAAGAGGACGGATTGTCTGAAAACTACATCCCTGACGAAACCTGGCCATCACTAGGAAACATCCAAATTAATAACGTCGCCGTTGGATATAAGTAGGGAAACTTCTCCACTTTCCATGTCAAAAAGCTGATTTTTCATATTTAGTTCAGAATCATTGGTACTCAAAGACTTCACAATGAACATAGTGGCAGGCCAGCAAGTTCTCGTTTGCGGTCGCACAGGCAGGTAAGTCAATTGGTACTAAGAAAATTCACTTCCTGGGCCACCGTTGACATACTCTGGCCAAAATATAGTGGAAAGAGCACTTTTCTCCTAACTCTTTTACGCCTTTTGGACACAACTTGCGGAGTTATCAAGGTCGATGGCGTAGATTTGAGTCTTGTTCCACGATCTCTGGTTCGAAAACAATGCTTTATTACAATCGCACAAGACCCTTGTATCATAGGACAGGCCAGTCTTCGATTCAACCTAGATGTAAGAAAACCATGTCTAACAATGCATAACAACTACTCAGAAGGGACAACTGACTTTCATTCTTCTAGCCGTCGGGTACCTTGCCTGACGACACCGTTGTCGAAGCCCTTAACAAAACATCCTTATGGATGCATTTCGTCTCTGGAACAGCTATACCCCATCTCGCACAAGCACAGCCGGTTCTAGGCAAACCTATCTGTTCATTGCCGCAAATGTCAAGTGGGCAGTCGCAGCTTTTCGCCTTGGCTCGAGCACTTTTGCAGCTTCAACATCTGAAGAAGGAGCACAGTGTATGCGGAAGAACAAGTCCGGGTCGCATTATGCCAATCCTTTTGCTCGATGAAGCCACATCCTCTGTAGACGCCGAGACTGAATCCAAAATGCATAGCATAATACGCAGCGAGTTCACAGATAATGGCCATACAGTAGTAATGATCGCTCACAAGGTGGTTGAGGTCACTGAAAGCTTTCGCGAGGGTCAGGATGTTGTTGTGTCATTATAGGAGGGGAAAATCAATAAAATAGGCATAGCTAAGCTCGCTCTAGGGTTTGGATCAGTCGTGGATCAATGTTAGAATCTTGGCGGAACATTACGGATGTTTATAGAAATGGTTCACCTTGGGTCGTTGCAAATACGCTAAATATTACATGTTTGTATACATAAACTGGACACAGCAGGCGCAAACTGTATCAGCAATATTATAGGCTAGTGGTTGTTCCAGCAATTAGCTTGATAATTGTAGTACTGTGGCTAGGCATGAGTTCGTTGCGGAAGATCACATAGCACTTGTGGCAGATGAGGCATGGCCCTTTGCGAATTTGTGGCTGGCTAGAAATGCAGTCTCGCGTTCACAAGACATGGGCGGCGTTATTACACAAACCATTTCTCTTGCTATTAGACGCCGGCATAGTGTGCAAGGAAGAGGGTTCTGAATGCTACATACCCACGATGGCAGGAATAACTGGGTATTCTCGCAGGATTTCTATAACCTTGACGTCCTTCGCACTTATTGACCAAAGAAGATAGATACGAAATTAAAAGAAATGACAGAAAGCCTCTCCAAGTTGAAGAGGGGAAGGAGTTCAAACACGTATATATCATAGAATCCCGAAAGCTGAAGTTACCATTATTACCGCTTTCAATGCACGGAAATCTGCATTCTAACCACAAGAACAAATTTACTTCAGTTTCCAGTCCCGCTGCATCCAGCTCTCCGCCCTCTAGGCCTCTGATACTTCCTTCACCTCTCTTCATGGGGATAATGCACCTCGAATGGGTGACCTCTCCCAAATTTTCAATGAGCTCAGCCAAATGTAATTTTATGATTTCTTGGCCATTAACCCCTTGGATACGCAGCAAATCCGTTTCCGTCTCGATCTGACATCTCTAAGTCATAATAACGTCTATGCCCGCTAGGGAGGTACCGATGGGTAGGACCTACTAGACCAAGCATTATGAGAATTCCATGTCGTTGGATTTCTTTCCTACGCGGGACAGAAGTTTCTTTGCAGCGTTTTCAGTAAGTGCAGAATATCGGCATACAAGCTCATGATGTATAATATCATCATCCGATCTACTACATTACGTATCATGGTTAACAACTGGGGTGATGGCACTGCATATGCCGCGGCTGCTATGTTACTAGTTTGCTGAACAAGTGCTTCAACTGTTACGGCTTGTCGACTGCCAATCATCACATTCCTCAATTGGCGATTAAGAATATCGGAACAGCTGATATGATCACTACGCTTAATCATAGATGGTTGATATCGTTACGGCGTTTAAAGCGGTTGCTATAGTATGATGTGATGAACCGCAGCGTCCTGACATATATGAAGAGAAGTAGTTGATTTTCCTAAGTCTAAGTACGAGAGAAAACTCGCCTAGAAATACTCTTCCTAATGTGGGTCTTATCAGTTAGAGGCGCCACTCCGTGGCGTCTCTGACTGGAACTAGCCACACGAAGCTGTCCCAGCTTCACGACATATGACTAGATTTAGGCATCAGCTGTTCGCTTATAGTAGAATCAATCGCTAGGCCAGGACTACATACGTCTTTAGATATACCAGCTTATCTATGCTTTTAGCAAGAAAAATCTATCAAGAGCCTTTGTGTAAAAGATCGCTCCTAATATAACTGGAAGGTGGCGTGTTTATGCTGTCGGGTAAGTGGTATTGCCCATATACGAAACTAATTATAAAATAAATCTCATAATGGCTAGCCACATATCGGTGTTCCATCTGATAGTCAGTGGGACGAATGGCGAAGGGACATTTGCATTGGGTGATCTCCAAGCCCAGGTGTTCCATGTTTCATAGATATCGCTTAGATGAGGTCTCGGTGACCAGATAATAGATGAAGTTCCCCATTTTATCTTGAGGCGCTCCGCTTCGTTTGAGTGGGGTTGTGCCACGCCCTGGTGGCGTGGAAAGCGTTTGAGCTTTATCCCTGTCGACTGGATCTGTGTTTCACTAGGCCATCTGCTAGATATAAGACGAAGACTTGTCTTCAAGATGAGCATATAGATTTGACACCATGGACTACTGATTTGCTCTCTTTCCGTTTTTTCCTACTTTTATCATAGGCTTTTGTGCTGTTCTACGTAAAATCCTGCCTAACCCCGTCCTTATGCATTACCACACAATCGTCTTCTGCTTGGGTAGCGCCCTAACCGCTTGGGCTGCGACTCCCTCAGGATTCAAACCCACCTCAAAAGTCAATCTGGTCGTTGCTTATGGGGGCCAGTCGGCTCTCAATGGTGTAGATCTGCAAAAAAGCCGTGAGTAGTCCAATGTAGTCGAGAATCCCATTCTAATTTCTCCAGTAACACAATCGGAACCTACATTTGGCACGACCGAGCCCCTAACCGGAAAAAGCTACGCCATCATGATGGTTGATATTGATATCCCCACCAACAACCCTCCAGCTACTGGCACTTTCCTGCACTGGGCGCAGGCAGACCTCACCCCTGTTGCCAAAGCCACCACAGTTCAGTTGAACGACGGCAAGCAAACCATTCATACACTAAAAGCCAACGGAGGTGCTATCGCGCCATACAAGGGGCCTGCACCACCGGCAAAAGTTCCCCTGTCACATCGCTATATCCAGCTTCTCGTCGATACTAGCAACATTACGGCGGCCGGGACCGCGGCGTTACAGACGCTCTCAAACCGCCAGGGAGTGCAGATCAATGACGTGCTAACCAAGGCTGGGCTAGCAAACCAGGTGGTTGCTGGTAACTTCTTCACAGTCACCAACCCTGGACCTGCGGCGGATGCCAAAAAAGGCAACACCACCACTGCCCCTACTGGTGGCGTAACAAAACCATCCTCCGTTCCGCCTAGTCTCTCTCATGGAGAAAAATCAACCTGGTTCTCCCCCGCGATGCTGTTGGTCAGCGCCTTGGGCGTTTTCGCTGGCTGGCTTTGACCAAGGAGTGGATGGACTCGGGTAGACTGAGACAGGTATTGAGCAAGGACACTGAGAACGTCTGGGAACTAAACATGACTTACCACGCGTGCCCGATATTATCTGCAATCACAAATTTGGGAAAAGGGGCAGCTGAACAGGGATTGATGTGCTAGCAGGCTCAGGGGCTAGTAAGAGAGTGGTTCGACTGTGTTTTATAGCGATGAGTGGGGCAAATAAACAAATGATACACAAACATCCGTATGGCAGGTCACATTATCTAGCTGGCTGAGTAGATTGCTGGACAGCTAATTATTCTGGGCAGGTTTTAGACAAGACTGATATGAGGATTGAATTGTGTTGTTTATCTCTACTTTGCCTCCTTTTGTTTTATTATCCTTGGAGTTTCTACACTGTCCGAACAAGCCTCATCAAATGAGAATCTTTAATGTAGGTGCATGGTGTTATATAGTTTCAGGCCATCGTAATACAAGCCTAGTTTCATCTGATTGCCGAGTATGTATCCCCCTGTTTCACGAAGGCAACAGCTCCGAGAGGCACAGACAGCCGAAGTGAAACCACACACCGAAACGAACTACACCTAGGTATTCTTTTCTGCAATTTATAATGTAAATGCTTCCATTGATTTTTCCCGGCCTAGCTTGCAGCAAAGGGCCATGGCCGCCTCTTACTGTGAAAAAACCATTTGTACTTGTCCTAGCTGGTAAGAGGTAGAAACTGATACGGTATGAAGCGAATAAGCACTGTTAATCGCTTGTGTAACAGTTTTTAGGGTAAGACTGCTGATTTCTAAGTCTATTCGGTGTATATCGTTAGTGAATCTGACTTAAGTGGTTCTTCAGTACACAAAGGTCATCTGTCGTGAAGCTGAAATAGCTTTATGTGGGTTGTGGCCGCTACAAATGTGGCGTATCACACGCACAGACCACTTGGAATAGATATTTCTACCCATCCTGCGGTTCATACATAGTTTGGTGTCGTGATATAAGCCGTAATTGCGCAGTGGCAATTACAGATCCGCTTTTGTCATCACAGTTATGAGCCTGCTTTACCCCGGACCTCTGTTTGCCTTAACGGCATGCGCATGTGCTATATCAGAGACCCCCACAATTTCGAGGGGCCCAGGTTCGAGCACTGCTCAGGGCAGTTGAAAACACTACCTATACTCTGGCGAGATGTACCCAATTAGAAGGTATTAAGAAGAGTGTTCTATATTACCAGCCTTCTGACAGATATGTCGTAAACCTGGGGGGGTGTGTCGTGATATAAGCCGTAATTGCGCAGTGGCAATTACGGATCCGCTTTTGTTATCACATTTGGCAATAGGACAACCACTTCACACTTAAACAAATAGCTGCTGTAGTTTACTAAGTTAACTTACCTACTTTTCAGTACCCTCTACATTTCAGTATACTAAAAATGCTGCCTAGCTACCCTATTAATAGCTATATCTATAACTTTAAACTACTACTACTTTTTTTAACCTTTATTAAATTACTTTATTTTTTTAGGATACCTTCTTTATATATTAATAGTTTAGTATACTAAAGATAAGATTAATTAAGTAATTAACACTATTAAAAATAGCTATAGTGTTATCTAGGTAGCTTTTATCTATAGTATTCTATAAATAACCCTCTAGTATTAACTAAGAGGTACTTAACTAAGGAAAGTAGTATTTAAAGACCTCTAGAGGCTTTTAACTAGCCAGAAGGCTAGCCTAGCTAGTTAGGTAACTACCTAGGTAGACCTTAGGCACTTACTAACCTATTAATAACTAAAGGACTTTACTTATTATATCCTCTAAGCTATAGAGGATACTTAACCTTTAGGTAAAAGGTAGGTAGATAGCTTTATTTAAAAGAACTTATTTATTAAGGTCTAGAGAAGTTAATCTATTAATTTAAGGTATATTAATAAGGTATTTACTAAAGTTATTAAGGACTAGTTTAAATATTTTACTATACCTTATATTTAAGCTATTAAACTAGCTAATAAATATAATATAAATAAGACTAGTATCTTTAAGAGTAAAAGTAATAATAAGCTAGTACTAAGTAAAGCTTTAATAAAAGTAGTAAAGAAAAAATAGCCTAGATTATAAGCCTAAGTATTTATTATTAAGTATATATTTACTAAAAGTATTACTATTTATCCTTTAGTTATATATAAAGGTAAAATAGTCTAGTAGTAGTAGTTTTTTCTAGATCTAGGCCTATATAATAAATAAAAGTTTATAGTAATAAAGAATAAATAAACTACTAATATTACTACTATTAAATAGCTATAGAGAGTCTTTTTTCTTTAGACTAAGCCTTTTTAGCTTAACTAGGCTAAACTCTTTATTTTAGATAAGTATAAAAGCTATATAATAATAGATTTTATATAGTTATACTATACTAATAATATTTATCTTTTATTTTTACTACTATATACCTCTTATATCCTTTAGCTACTTAACTAGTTAGTTTTTAGCCTTATTAAGGTAGTATATTAGAAGAAGCTTAAATATCTTAGTTAATAAATTAACTTTACTATTATAAGTAAAAAGAACTTCTTTTCTTACTATTAAAAGGCTTACCTAGCTAGTCTAACTATTAGTAATATTAAGAGTAGCTAGAAATATACTAGGTTATAGCTTATTAGTACTATAAAGCTACTTATAAATAGGCTACTAGTCTAAAAAGTAATATTATTAATAATAATACTATTAATACTACTTAAAGTAACTACTAGAAATACCTATATAGCCTAAGATACTTATAATATAGAGGGCTAAGTATTAGCCTTATCTATAGTAAAGTAGTCTATACTAAAAAAAGTAAAAAACCTTAGGGACTAACTATAGCTCTTTAGCTAGCTAAAATAAAGTATTACTATATAACACTAACTATTTAAAAAGGTTAAAAAAGGCTTCTAAGAATAGTCCTATATACTAGCTACTACTTAGTAAAAAATTAGCCTTCTAGAAGCCTAAGTTACTAATAGTATACCTAGAAAACAGAAGGCTATTTATATAGATCCTAATATAAAGTTTATAATAATTAAAGAGGTATAGTAATTATAGTAGGAGGCTAATAAAGTTAAAAGTAATATAGATAAATCTAGTGTATTTAAATTACCTAGTAAAGCTAAAAGCTATATTATTATAGTATTAAGAGGTTATTAATAGTTAATTAAATAAAGTAGTGTTAGTTATAATAGCTTTATTTTTAGTATACTAAAATATAGGGGGTACTAAAAAGTAGGTGGGTTGACTTATATAATCTCAAAATGACTAGTGTTAAATATTACTATTTGATCTCTGAATAGGTCCATCCTATCTATGTTGCGCTAGTTACAAAAAGAGCCCGTGGAAAGCCTAAACAGTTGACTACAAGTCAGGTTGAAGTATAGAAGTTTTTAAAAGTGTGTTAGAGATAGTGACGGTTGCGAATATTACGTTAGGTACCTTAATAGTGATATGACCTAACAGGGTACTTAGCGTAGCTATGGTTTAGTAAGTGACCTAAAGACAAAGAAATTACGTCTATTGACAGAAATGGAAATTTAATACATATATAAATATAGACAAACATACGAGGAAAGAAACAGAGCAAATTGAGACTGAAACCCATTTAAATCGTGATATAGAAACAAACCGCGTATCTGTCGGCACAGAAGTAACAGGAATCTTTGAACACCTTATCGTGCGTTCCATCATGAGCCATAGCACAATGGGTAATACGCCTCCTGGTGTGGGAACAACTATCAAATCCTTGCATTGCACCCTTGGGTCCAGATCACCTATTTTCGAGATGACGTCGAACCCTAAGTCGATGACCAATTTAACACTGGGACCTAGCATGGTTGACTTGATAATTCCCCCTTTGTTGAGCTCCGTAATTAGAACCGTACTGTGCTTGCCATTTATCTTTGTTTCTTCCCATTTCGAGGGCGTCTCGACATGCGAGTGTTGACGCTTGATTTCAGCTTGAAACTCTGGCGTAATTATGTTGGTGCCCCCAAGGATGATGATGTTGAGGTCAAGCATCCATAGCTTGTGATATGCAGTAAGCAGGCGCATTACTCCATCGACAGCAATATTGGTGCGTTTGCTTTCTGCATACTCCTCGATGTGCTTCGCTCTTTTGATGCTGTACATCACTTCGTCCTGGCAAAGATGCTCTGGTATAGGTCGCTGAACCAAGATGCCGTGCGTGCAGTGGTCTGTGTTGAGTTTGTGAATCTGTTCGAGGACCTCATTGATTGATGCACTAGGCAGAAGTTTGTGAGGTATGTAACCGATTCCAGCCTGCAAATTGGTAAGCCAGTAGTCCAATGCGTGCTGCTGTTGGCGGTAGATTCAGTCTTGGGGTTCATTACCTTGGCTGCCACTTCAGCTTTAATCTGGAGATATTCTTGGGCATCATCACCTGTGTCAAAATATACGACAGCTAGCATAGGCTTAGGGCCATTTGGGCATCTGCTGTTTCTGAGGCACCACCTCTCCAAACTTTCCACTATGGGATTCCCTCTAAGAAAACATGCTTGGTTGAAGTTAGAGGTGGTGAGTTGGGTTTCGTTTTTTTCGTCGAATAGTGCCGTACTAAACTTCTCGGAGAACATCTTGTAATGAAACAGAAAAGTAAAAGGAAGAAATGATGAAGCAGAAATAGCAGTTTGATATCGGGGCCTTGGAATGTCAGGCTTTAAATATGCATAATGTTTTCGATTTTGCAATTGGCACGTCAACATGCAAACGGATGTTAAGCGGTATTTTCTAGAGGGGAGAGTCTAATTAATGTCTCAACAAGGCTGCGCACAGCAGAGTGAACGATCGATTCGAAATAGGAACAGTAGTGGCATGCTTGTCGCTAAGACATAGCCGGACTTAGACTAGGAAGTACAAAACAGGCATCGGTACATCCATCTGAACAAAAGTTTCTATTATAAGAGATGCTGGCGTTAGAGTGAGGAAATCATTGATAGGGCTGCTAGATGGATAAGTAGGAATAGTGTTGTAACAACACTTGGTTCTGACTTAATGGTGATAAGGGTGCTTTTGAATCCTTTCCTAATCACTGATAGCGTCCTATGAGCGGCCCACCCCCACAGCCCTGATAGACTCCTGATATTCTTCCTGCTAAGTTACAGCCGTAAGAGCGTTATGCTGCAATGTGTTGACTATTATTGTTGCTTTACATTTCACCCTTGTGAGTTATAATAAAGGAACACCAGCTACGATCAGACTTAGAGATACTGATCATGGTGTAATAAGTAGCTCATGCAGGGTGGCATAGAACAACTGGGTTTAAGTTGTTTAAAGAGGGCGAAGCTGATGAGGTGAAAACTGCTGGTTATATACATATGATACCAAAGTTATCAGAAGGGTGTAAAGTCAACAAGGAGCAAAATGCTGCTTATGCACATAAAAGTATGTGACAGAGCTCCTACTGTCAGGCCATTTTAACCAAACAGAGCAAGGGTTTCTCTATGTCCTCCGTTGGCGCTGACCGAGGCACCATTCACCCATCTCCCCTCCTCGCTCGCCAGAAATCCGACGATGTACGCAATGTCATCCATGTTTCCAACCCGGTTAGCCGCCGTACTCATAGCGATTTGCGTGTCGAGGAATCCTGGGATGAGCCCGTTGACCATGGCTAATGCGTCCGTCTCTGTAGGCCCCACGGCCACGCTGTTGAAGGTGATTCCTGTGGCAGCGGAGAATGTGTTGGCAAACGACCTCGTGAAGCTGTCAAGTGCAGCTTTTGTGGCACCGTAGGTTATCATTGGATCAGAGTTGCCTAACTTGCTGGCGAGGCTGGAGATGTTGATGACACGTCCTCCGAAGCTTTCTGCCTGAACAGCTCTGACATCTGAGGCTCTGCTGATGTCTGAGAGAGCAGCGTTGTTGACGAGGATGTCGATCTTGGTTACATCGAGGCCGCTAAGAGCGTCCTTGACAATTTTAGGCCTGCTTGTAGGATCCGTAATATCCGCCTGAATAGCGATCGCATTAACTCCGAGCTCGCGGCATTTCGCCAATGTTTTCTCTGCCTCGGTTTCGTTGACAAGGTACGTGATGGCAAGATTACTCATGCCCTTGCGTGCAAAGTGTATAGCGATTCTGCTTCCAATTCCACGCGACCCGCCGGTAATAGTTGCGGTCTTCTCCTTCAGTGAACACGTCTCCGATGACTAGGTTGGGTTAGACATTTTGCAACGGATGATTTTTCTAGAAATAAGAGCAGCTTGATCTTTGGCTGCAGGAAAGCGTGATGTGAGATTGGTCAATTAATAAAAGGCAACTTTATGACTACAGCTCACATTATATACCCTCATGATCGTTAACATAAGAAATGATCGAAAAATCGAATGCTGATATCATGCATTCATGAGTTTGTAAGCTCCGACCGAATATTGTGAATTTCGTCCGAGCCATGTAAGCTACACAATTGCAGATTCCAACCCTGCAGTGATACAACGCCCGAAAATAATATATAGCCTTTTCCGCTGTCCGATAAGAGATTAGATCGAGCAAAATTTCTTAAAACGGTTCATGAATCAACACTTAGACACTCGTCTACCTTCTAGAGCAGTTAGAGCAGCGCTTTTGGCTTTCCTAATCTCCCTAAAGAGGGTCTTAAGTCCTCATAGTGCACAGGTTGGGAGTAGTACCCAATACAGCAATCTACTGGTTAAATAGTACCCAAGGTCCATATAGCGGAGTTTGTGTTCCTTATCACTTTGACTTACTAAAATCGCTGACAAATCGGCCGAACTAGCGGAGGAGGCAGGGTTCTGTTAAGACTCTCAACGGCACCATCCAACGTACAAAGTGCAACGGGTCAGATGTAAATGTTTACTATTCCACCCCGTACGCTCTGCCGCCTGTTGGTGACCTGCGTCTCCCTCCTCCCCAGTTCTTCAACGGGTCCTGGAATGGGACGCTGAATGCCACGACTCCCACCGTCTCATGTATCCAGTTCAACCAGGAGTTTGGAGAATCGAACGAGCAGACTGAAGACTGGCAAGTCACTTCTCTCTTATCAATGACACCATTTAATTTCATTGGCCTGACTATCATGAAGTTTGTACCTCGACGTCTGGACCCCTCCCAACGCCGCGCCTAATGCTTCTCTGCCAATCAAGGTTTGGATATATGGCGGCAGCAATGAAGCCGGAGGTGTCTCAGATCCGACGTACAATGGCTATTTCGCTGCCGAAGACTCAATTATCGTCTCCATGAACTACCGTATGGGACCCTTGGGTTTCCTCGCTCTCACCAACTTGGAGTTGTCTGGAAACCAGGCATTATGGACCAGCTGCTTGCATTGCGCGGGGTCCGAGAGAACATCGCCGCCTTTGGATGTGACCTGGTAAGTTTAATCCCGTTCTCAAATTCCCAAGTGGGACGAGTCTAATTTGACGGTCCTTAAACACAGAAAAAGGTGATGCTATTCGGCCAATCCGCAGGTGCCCAACATACCTTCTTCATTGCCACGCGCCCTGATGCCCCATCGCTGATCAAGGCCGCGGCTATGGAGTCCGGCGCGGGACGAGACTATCCGACGATCGACAAGGTGCAGTTCTGGCAGAAATCCTTCATGGATGGCCTGAATTGCACCGATGTAAGCTCTACACTCCTACGCTTTGGTTTCATGTACTAACCCCTTCCCACAGCTCGCTTGCGCTCGTAATGAACGCCTGGGGCCCTTTGGTCGACGGATCGTTCGTCCCAGAGCAGCCCGCTCAGGCTGGCTTGAAGGTACCATCCATAGTCGGCTCAAACATAGAGGACGCGTCGCTGTTCATTTTCGGCGCCGCCGCCCCGCTTATCAATCAGACCTACTCCGTCTCTAACTTTTCGTCCCTTGTGGCGCCTGTGTTCGCCGCCATGGTCGACGTCTACACTGCCTTTGCCTTCACCTGCCCGACCTATCGTGCCCTGCTCGGCAGCGTCGTCAACAATGTCCC